AGAGAGAGAGAGAGAGAGAGAGAGAGAGAGAGAGAGAGAGAGAGAGATTAGTTAAAGGCCAGTGAGCTGTTTCAGGAGGTAAAGATGCCTGCATCCAAGTCTGACAACCTGAAGTCAATCCCTAGGACTCACAGCATGGGAGGAAAGGACCAAGCAATTTTCAACCTCTGGCCTGCACATGCATGTCTACACTAACAAACACACATACACACAGACACACAGATAAATACAAATATATACATAGACAGACACACAAACACAGACACACACAGAGCAGAAACACATCTAGTTGCCCTCCCTGTTAAAGGTTGATAAGGATCACGGCAGTCTGGGACTGCAACAGACTCACAGCCTTGCCACTCAGGAGAACAAAGACAGGAGACCAGGCCACTTCTGGGGCACTGACTTCATTCCTCTTTCTACAACTATGCATTGTGGTCTGTTGAGTTTATTGAACCTTTTACAGTAAGTGGAATGTTTCCTGGCTCAATCTCTGATGACGATCTGATCAGACAGGACCTTTGAGTTCTTGAGAGTTGGACAAGAAAATCCACATTCAGAAGCACACATGTAGATGGGTGATGGGGAAACAAGACAGCCCACCCTAGACATGCTACTATTCACTGTCCTGCTAGGAAGCACCATTGCCTGGAGGCCCTTCAGGGATGACAGAGGCCTCTTCCTCAAGCACACCGTCTTCACAGTCTTCACAATCACTACGGAAGGCTAAGTGCAGAGGGCAGAGTGGAACTACTCCATTACCAAAGCATGTGAGACAAGAGAAACAGAATACACTGCTCTGGCAGATAGGATACTAGGAGCACAGCCCAGGGAGGGATGAGGCCCCAAGACCCATCTGGTGCTTGATTGTAATGCAAACTAGATGTGATCTAGATTCTCCTCAGAAGGGGATGTCTCAATGAGGAACTGGCTAGATTAGCTGCTCCTGTGGGCATGATGATGAGGGAATTCCTTTGTGGGGTTAATCCAGTGGGGAAAGTATGCAGGTAGCAATTCAGGGGCTAGGGGCTGGGCAGAAGAAAAAGGAGAGCGCTGAACACGTATTCACGCAGTAGTTGACTGCTGTCTGCTCTTGACTGTGGTGTGACCAGTTGCTTCACACCGCTCCCTGCAATGTGGACCGTAACCCAGAAGTGTGAGTCTCTTCTCTTGGGAGCTGCTCTTGTGCAGGCTGTTATCACCGCATCAGGAAATGAAACAAGGGAGACCTTACCCAGGCCATGGCTCAGCCACACCAAACTCAGGCATGCGCAAAATGTCTCTTCACTGGGTTGGCCAGTTGGCCCAACAGGTAAAGGTGCTCACTGCAGGGGCCAGACCTTCCGAGTCCAACCCTGGAACTCCATAAAGGGAGAAAGAAAAGACCTATCCCATAGAGTTGTCCTCTGAGCCCAACAAGTATGCTGTGATAATCTGCTCCCCCATACAAACACATTAGTAAATAAAAATTAAAACTGTTTAAAAATGATTCAATTCTGTATTACTGAAATATTTAAGGTCCCTCTGCCTCTTAGAATGGGAGAAAAAAAGTAACATTGAAATACAACTGAGGTTTTGTTCTTTATACACACTTTTTAATAAAATCGAGAAAAACTTTTGCCATGGGCTTGGCTGAGTTATAGAGTTTATCTCCTAAATGGCCAAAAGCGCTATTGTCTGCCCACTTGCCAAGCCATGCCCGTGTTACAAGCAGCCTGGCAGGGAGGAAAAGATGACAGTCCGGTCCGCAGATGCGACATACTAGATCTGATTGCTATTTCAAGACACATTTTTTTTCCCTTAATATTTATAGAAAAAATGGACCCCTCCAAATAAAATGAATTTGGCTCATGGGCAAATGCTGGCAGCTGTGCATGGTCAAGTCTGGTGCTGGTGCTTCTGACGAATGTGGTTCATGAATTCAGTCAGACTCCACGGTTACAAAGGGAAGGAGCTAGGATGCAGGAGGGTAAGGCTGTGGGTGTGACCTGAGCCCCAGGCTCTGGCAGGCAGCAACCTACCTTTCCTGCATACTCAGACACAATCTGCTTGATCTCAGCAGAGCAGAGACCCACGATCTGGCCCACGGAGCTTGCGGTGAGGCGGCTCTGCAATCAAAGGAGGTTTGATTTTCAGGAACGCTTGCCCATCATAGAACTGAGTATGTTTACAAAATACACAGTATTGACCCAGGAAAGTGATTTGAACTTTGACCACTGACTCATCCACAAGACTCAGAACAGAAGTCAGAGCCACTGCTCCATCTCCTGAGTCACTCGGACGGATGCATTAGTTTCCTTGGCCCCTGGGGACCCCTGGAGCCACCCCTCCATCTCCTGAGTCATATAGTGACTATGCTAACATCCCCTTATTCATGTCTTGAATACCCTTACCAAACTTTCTCTTGGGCCCTGGGTATCCCTCCTAACTTCCCTTAAGACACTGGCCACCTGGACTAGCTTCCCTGCCCTGCATGCCCTGGGTACCCTAGGATTCCATCTTCTTCTCCATCCCCATGTCGAGGCCTGGGACTCATAGATGAGAAGTAGAAAAAAAACCATAGGTCTTAAAGTATCTCTTTATTCCCACAGGTCTTTCCTCATCTTCAAAGAAACGATCCCATCCAAGGGCATAGCTAATCGTTCTTTTGGAAAGGCCTTGACCTGTGAGAGGGCTCCCTGGCAACTCAGGATTTCATCTCCTACATAGCTGGTTTCAGAAGATGGGTTCCCATGGTTACAGAGAAGCAGGACTGACGCTTGCTCTTCCTTAGAGGCCAGTTAGCCACCCCTGCAGGGATATATCGCCCCAACGGTTGCCTTAAACTCTCCCTCTTAGAAGGCCCCAAGGACAAGGCTAGGCATTATAAAAATCTTCCTGAAAAAGCGGCAGGGCTCAGGAGGAGGGCTCTGAATGGTGCTCCCTGGCCCAGCCTCCCCCCCTCCCAACCCTCACCTCCTCACTCGCCATGGCGGTCATCTTGGTCATCAGCGTCTGAATGCGCTGCTGAAAGAGGAAGAGAACAGCAGTGAGCGAGCGGTCTGACCGTGCACAGGAACAGGTGCTGCCCGGGGCTTTGTGGTGGCACCCAGGCTGCTGCTTTAATGTGGGCTACTGGTGAGCCTCATAACAGCTCAGAAAAGGGAACTGTGAGGAGAGGGAGGCGGCTGGAGAGAGAGCTGTGGATGGGAGCCAATCTCCCGCCAACGACCCACTCCGGGACCTCAGAGGGCCACCACAGGGCACACACCTCCTCAGCTGCTTGAAGCTCATCTTCTTCATGAGCATCCGTTTTCTCTGTGGCCGACAGCCCTGCGGCAAGCGTGGTTTTCTTGTCCTCAGTCTAGAAGGGAAGATGAGGAAAGAGCAGAGCACCAGAGGTGGAGACTCAGCAGAAATAAGACAAGCATGCAGAGGTGTACTCTATGGAAGAAAACCTAGCTGGGGCCCAGCCAAGGAGAACAGGTAATCTAGTGGCTTCAGTCAAGTTCCAAAGTCCAGAGTGGGCTAGGCAGGCATGGGCTGGTGAGCTGCCTCATGCCAGCCACCTCTACCTGCTGGACTCATTCTTGATCTGTAGCTCTGGGATGCTTCTGCTGGCAGGCTAGAAATACCAAGATGAACAAGCAGGGGACAGAGGTGGCCAGTGCATTCCCAGGGCCCCTGCCTACCTACAGCCCGGTGCTTGATCAGCAGGACCCGTGCTACCCAGCCCACAACTGCTGCCACCCCCCACCCCCAATTTAGGTCTTCCTTACCTTCTCCGTTTTGCTCTGGCGACTAAATCCGTATCTCCTGTAAGTCATGAGAAAGAATTACTATTCAGAAATCACAGTAAATTCCAACAAGTGTATTTTTTTTGACACATATGTGCATGTAGAGGCTGGGTAAGCAACACTGGATGTCTCCTCCCTTAGTCCTTTCTAACTCTTTCTGAGACAGTATCTCTCAGTGAACTTGGAGCTTACCAGTTTAGCTCAAATGATTGGCTGGTGAGACCCTGTGCTCTCCTGCCTCTGCCTGCCCAGCACTGGGTTTACAGGAACATAACCTTACACCTGGCTTTCACGTAGGTGTGGGGACTGAGCACCAGCCCTCATGGCTATGTGGCAAGCATTTTACCAACTGAGCGTTCTGTCCAGTGCTTGGTTGATTCTTCTATGAGAAACACCGAAGAGGATTTAGGCTATTGAGTGCTGGAAGAAAATATTTCAAATGCCTTACCCAGAAACATAACCCACCAGGCTCTGGCTATGGCCGGTCATGTTAATCTGCTGTTTAACTAATGCTATACACAGAAAGCTAGCATAGGAAGTACAGGGAAACCTTTGAGGGCACTCATTGATCTTCATATCAAGAACCGCATCGCGGAACCACACTGAGAGCTGAAAACCTTAAAACATCCCTGCAAACAATGTCTTTCCTAAGTCCAAATCAGACTCTAACAATAATGACTTGAAATCTCACCCGTGTTTTACTTTCAGACACAACCCAAACATAATGTGAGCAATGTGTACTCACTTCACAAAACCTTAAATTTAAAAGGCACACAGACACATTCCAGCTTAGTTTATTTTTTTTTGGCATAAAACAAACAAAAACTATAATTTTTTTTTTAAAAAATCAAACACAACACAAAAACAACTCACCCAAAAACAGAAGGTATAGTGCAAACATCGAGGTTCAGATTTTAGTTTGGAAAGGAATAAAATCGTGTACAAGCATTTAAGAAAAAAACAGATGAAGCTTTTCCTCTGCCCCTGCTTGGGACATGCCTGGTCTGGGATCAGTGGGCAACCCTCGCCACTCGCTGGTGTAGGGTCTGCAGCCTAACCTCTCCTGCTCGTCCACCACCCCTATCCCCTTCACTTTAGCAAAATGCAGGACTCCCATGCTGTCTCCCCATTGCTTCCTCACATCTTCTTCCTTCCTCCTCCAAGGCCCTGCTCAGCCTCATGCAAGCAGCTCTTGCTCCATCTACTGTTTACACAGAGCGTTACACAGCGCGACAACATCTCTCCCTCACCTGCTCTCTGTTCTAAAATATGTCTGCAAAGTTTCCGTGTGTGTAGTGCATGCATACAGTGCCAAGACCTGTCCATCTAGGCCTACGCAGGCCCCTACTATGGCAGCTATGACCAATCACCTGAGCGCAAGCCTGTACCCTTCTCCTGGCGGATGCTGCTGCTTTTATGGTTTGAAGTGTTAATATTGGTTCAATGAAAAAGTACAAACAAAATAAAATGCAGAAAGTACAATGTCATAACATTGCCTAACTTTGCCATAGGTTGTCACAGAACTGGAAACATTGTTGGGCAGTGGCCCAAAGTATAGCAGATTTAATCTAAGGCTGGGGTCTGCACACCATTCTGTAAAGAACATTATGGCAACCTCTGTAGTCCAATCAGTATTGCTGATTTAACAGGAAAAAGCTACCTCAGAGTTAATTTCAGGGTTGCGGAGAGTTGGAATGTTGTAGATGCAGAGCCACACCATCCTGGGGCTAGCCTTGCCTCCAGTTTCACTAACCCCACAGCTAAGGATGCCACCAGACAGCAGCCCTGCCCCACAGCACACATCTGCTCATGCGGTGGAAAATAAATGTCTTTAGTCCCGTAGTTGTTTCATTACTATAAAAGCTTCATGAGGCTTCTTTCATATTGTAACAGGGAATTTGGGGCAACTTAAATCTGTGATTCAAGCCAGGGTCACTCACATTTGACTCAAGAAAAAGAACTATCTTCTATTCCCTGTGAGGTGAAAGCTCGTTTTCTGTGTCAACAACTGAATCTGGGTGACTCAGTTCAACAGTACAGCCTGGGAAGCTCCCATCTACTCCACGTACAGATAGGCTACATCAGGGTTTCACCACAGTCTTTTATTGTTTGAGAGTGCGTGCATGTGTGTCTGTCTGTCCACCTTCCTTTTACGACAGGCTCTTTCATTGGTCTGGACTCACCCATTAGACTAGGCTGGCCACAGTGAGCCCGGGATGTTTCTACTGCTGCCTGTCTAGCCCTGGAAGGACAGGGATGCTACCATGTGCAGCCCTTTACTGTGGTCCTGGGGACTAAAATGCAGTCCTCATAAAGTGAGCACTTTACCTAATGAGCCATCTCTCCAGGCTTTTGCTAATCATTTTTAACAAGGGGTCATGTAGTTTAACTTTGTACAGTCCCTGCCCCCTCTCAAAATTATGTCCCTGGTCTGAACGGTCCCTGAACTGAAAAACACATTCAATTCTCAGCAGCAAATGATGAGTTGGGAGGATGGCCGCCACCACACAGGACTTGGACCAGAATGAACTCAGTGGCTTTTGAAGCACACGAGTTTCAACTGTGGGAGGGAAAGAGACTTGACCTCAGACTATTACCTCAAAACACGCAAATAAACTAAACCAAACAGCACAGCATGAGAGGCAGATGAGACGGCTCAGTGGGTAAAGGCGCTTGTCATGCGAGCCGAAGATCTAAGCTCAATTCCTAGAGTCCACATGAAGGTGGGAGGAGAGAACTGACTCCTGTAAGCTGTCCCCCCCCATAATAACAATAACAATAAGCACTGCCTTTCCTTGAAAAGCTAGAATAGTAAGCCTCATTTCCTCTTGTTTGCCACTGTTTCCCAGAGGAAGGGGCCATGAGACACTGGGGGACATGCCCGTGAGAAAGAGTTAGTGTTAGCCACACAACAAGGCAGGCACACTCTCTCACACACAGGCAGGCAGCACAAGGCACATACTCACATCAAGAGATTGGTCACCCTGGGTAGAGAACATAGGTCATAAGGGAAGGTTAATATGCAGTGTTGAGCAAAGCATTCAAAGGAAAGCCTGTCCTTGCGTGGTTTTTAAAAAAGTGAGAATGTAAAAGTAAAACTCTTTATTAAGGATAGAATAATTTTAAGAAATAATAAAGCTTATTATTAAAGTTTTCATTTTTCTAGTCACAGCAATCTTTGTCCCAAACCAAGAGGATTTCTGTAGGTGTTCTGTGGACTGTGTTTAAAAGCAGAGCCAGGAAACACATGCGAGCCCTGCTCTCACACCACCAATTCCCCAAGGAAGCCAGAGTCCATGAACAACACCATCCACGTTTCAGAGAACTAGAAAGGCCGGGCACAGAACACAAACTTAAACCTGGAAGTCATAGCTGCAGACCATAAACTCAATTAGGCAGCAGCTAGCTCTGTGTGTATGTGTGTGTGTGTGTGTGTGTGTGTGTGTGTGTGTGTGTGTGTGTACAGGGTCTCACTACGTAGCCTCGGCTAGTCTGAAACCCACTCTACAGACCAGGCTGGCCTCAAACTCACAAAGACCCGTCTGCCTTGGCCTCCCGAGTGCTCAGACTATCAGCATGCTTCACCATTTCAGCAGCTGTCCAATTTTAACTCAAGAAAGGTAGCTTGCTGGATTTCCCTTCCTCCTTCCCTCCCTCCCTTCCTTCATTCTTTTCTTCTTCCTTCAGTTCGTCCCTCCTCCCTTCCTGAAATGAAGAGACTTTGTTAAGAAAGCAAAGGCGTCCCGATAATGGAGAGAACCAGTGAGCTGGCACAGGAACTCAGAAGCCTTTATGTTTGCTTTGTTTGTTAGTTCAGGGAAGGAGAAGCTAGAGAACAACCTTGTTCCTCAGGACATGGTCCACCCTGGTTTTCAAGGAAGGGTCTCCCATTGGCTTGGAGCTCACCCAGTAGACTTAGTTCAGGCTGGGTGGCCAGGGAGCCCCAGGATCTTCCTGTCTCTACCTCCTCAGCACTGGGGTAACAAGTGTATGCCTCCACTCGGGGCTTTTCCTATGTGGTTCTGGGGACTGGACTCACTTCCTCCTGCTGCAAGGCAAGCACTTTTGACTAAGTGACCACTCCAGCCCCAGCTTGACTTGGAAATAGTGTCATGAAATCGGTGCAGACCAGCACCTTCTCCGTACCTGCCGTACTCCAAAAGCGTGGAGTGGACTCGGGACTCCTCGTCCAGCAGCTCCTCCGCTCCCTGCTGCCGTCTGTACTTGCGACGGGGCTTGTAGGTGTCCTGAGGAGACGAGAAAGGCAAGGCAAGGAGCATGAGAGGCTCCCCAGGACTGTGGCTGGTGCCTCCAGCCACTCAGGGGAAGTAGACCTCTAATACAGAATGGGGACACCTGGTTGGCTCACATCAGGGGCCACAGACACAGAGACTCTAGGTCAGGCTGCCCTGCGAGCCTGTCTGTGGGGGACTGTCTGGCTTGCTTTACTCCATGTGGGAGGACTGAGCCGCAAGGTGGGAGTCACCATTCCCTGGGTGGAACCTTGGACTGCATGAGAGAGAGACAGCAGGCTGAGCACTATGCGTCCAGGCATTCGTCCTCTGCTCCTGACTGTGCCGTGATTGGCTGCCTTCAGTTCCTGCCTTGAGTGCCCCACAATAATGGACCATAACCTGGAAGTTCAAACCAAAGAAACCCTTTCTCTCCTAATTTTTTTTTTTTGGGGGGGGGAGGGGTCAGGGTGTTTTTATCACAGCAACAGAAAGGGAACCAGAGCACAAGGCTTAGGAAGCTCAGGTGAGAAGCTGTGCTGGAGCTGCCTCCACCCCTGCGAGCTGACCGACCACAAGCCGCCCCTGCCAGGGCGGAAGTTCTCTGACGAGACCAGCCTTTGCACTATTTGTGTTCTTCTTTTCTTTCTTTCTCGCCTTCCTTTTGTAGCTGAGGATGGCCTTGAACTTCTGATCCTCCCGCCTCCAGCTGCAGAACGCAGTAACAGACTCTCGGACTCACGGACTGCCTGCCACATCTGGCTGTTGTACTTGGGTGCTGAGGGTGCTGAGCTGTACCGAGCTCAGGTTATTTTAGCAGTGCTTCCTCAATTCCACATTTTATATTCTGTTAGTTTTAACTGTCAATGCCACGGAATCTAGAGCCATCGAGAAGATACTCTCATAAAGAACTGTCTAGATCAGGTCAGCCTGTGGTCACGGCCACGAGGAATGTTCTTTGAAACCGCAGTCTGGCTGAGCACTATTGCATGAGCAGAAAAGGCTGTTGAGGACCATGCTCACACGCTCTCATTCTCTGGTCTGGCTGTGGCTGCGGCTTCTCTGCCTTGACCCCCATAACGATGGACCGCAATCTGAAGTGGTGGCCTCAAACAAACTAACTCCCTCTCGCCTTCTGTGAGGGTGTTTTATTGTGACAACAGAAAGGAAACTACAGCACGCAGCTTACTTCTTAAGTGAGGAACAACAAAACAAGCAAACACAGAAACAAAACACCTCATTCTGGTATCGCCGCCAAGTATATTCATAGTATAGTTTATGTTTAGCCTTAATTTTTTTTTTTTTGTGCTGTGAAAGGAAGGAAGCCATATTATTTTGATGAGAAAACTAAGGATCCCAGCGCTATTCATTGGAAAGTCTAGACTTCTGAACTATGGAGCTTCCTCCCTCCCCACATGCATACACACACACAGACACTGGACCCCACAGAACACATCTCTTGAGTCTTCTTGTTTGATGTTCATGCTTCCTGCCTTCACCATTTTGTTTTATCCACATTTCTGCCTATTCTTATTCTTATCCTAGCACCAGCCTGTTAAGATCCTTATACAACCTCTTTGATTTTTTACAACCATACCAAATTTCTAGATGACTTTAGAAGAGCAATATCTTAGGGCTGAAGTGATAGCTGCTCTTCTATTGGACCTGAGTTCAATTCCCAGCACCCAATGGCAGTTCATAACAGTAACTCCAGTTCCAGGGGATCTGACGCCTTCATACATAGACACGCATGAAGTGAAACAGCAATGCACAGAAAGTAAGAATGAGAAAGAACAGTGTCTTTATGATGCTGCCTTGTTGTGAAATAAAGGGCTTATGTCTCCTCTGTGTTTCTCAACGGCTTTCCACGGGAACGGGCACTGAACGGCTGACCTTCCACAACGCCAGCCACAAACCAGAACACTGCCAGACCTGTGTACACACCAAACGTCCTAAAGGTCTCTACAGTGAAGGGGACTTCAATTCTTTCAGAACCTAGCACTGGAAATGTAAAATGGTTGTTGTGGTTTGAATGTAACCTGTTCCCCACAGGCGTGAGGGCTTGAACACTCGGGCCCTTCAGGAGGCGCAGCCTTGATGGAAGAAGTATGTGACGGGTGCGTTTGAGCGTAGCCCTACTTCCTGTTCCCTCTCTGCTTTGTGTGTGGATGAAAGGTGACTGATCTGCTTCCTGGATGAGTTCCCAGGAATGATGGACTCCATCCCTCTGCAACTGTAAACCAAAATAAACCCTTTTATGTCAAAGTTTCTTTCTGTTGAGGGATTTTGTCACAGGGACAAACCCTCTAGTTGGCCACACCTGTAAACAAAGGTGCTCTTACACTTCAGTAACAAAAAGCTGAAGAAGACTAAAATGCCCTGTAATTTTTTGTTGACTTTAGAAATTACTAGAGTTTTAGCTTTGTTTTGTGTTTTGTTTTGTTTTTTTAAATTTCCCCTCTTTTATGACCAAGGATGGCCTCAAACCCCGTCTTAAGAAATTCTCTTGCTCCAGCCTCCAAAGCAGCGGGACTACAGGGAGAGGCCTGGCTCGAGCTGTGTTAGTGATAAACACACAGTACAGTAACTACAGAGCTATTTCATGTGGTCTACCTTCTGGTCGAATGTGCGCATATATGCACATGTGCATACATATATGGCATCTATCTTGAACAAAATGCGTGGAAAGATACGTGCACATGTGTGTGAACATGACAACATGTGTGAACATGAACAGAACATGTTCAGTAACCACTAGTCTCTTCCTGCTGCTGGCCTGATTTGTCATTTTACCCCAATAAATGTCCTTCCTGACTGCTGAGATGGCGGTCAGTAGTCGCTCAGGACAACCTACCTGGGGCTCTGTATGTGGACCGGTGGACACTGTGCCAGTACATGACTGTCCCTAGCCGACCCCAAGATCAGTACTGCGACAGCCCCTTTACATTGGCACTTTACTCCAGTTAGAACTGCTGTTCCCTTGAGATAATCTAGCTTACAGGACTTTAGTTTATGTTTCTTTATGAAAGTTCTGAGTGTCTGTCACATACATATCCTCAACTTTTATTCACTGCATGTGTGCTCATGCTTGCGCATGTAGAGGTCAGAGGTCAACTTGAGGGAGTCGGTTCTCTCTATAGGGATGGAACTCAGGTTTGGCAGCAAGACCCTTTACCCACTAAGCCATCTCACTGACCCATCTCAGTTTTTGCAGACAATATCCAGCCTGATGCTTGAGGACTGTTATCATAAAATATCTCCTAGTTTGCCCCAGTGTCTACACAAATATCAAACTATAAATAACACCAACCAGACCTATACAGAAATGAAAACCAGAATGAACCTGACACGGTGACTGTATATAATTGAATTTCTACTAAGTTCTCCTGTTATAATAGTGCTGCATAATTGAGCTTAACTGCTGTTCTCCTCAGTTACCATTGAGAGAGCCAATGACGCAAGACAGGAAATTGGATTCTGCTAAAGAAAAGACTTCAAAACAATAGCACGGGGAAGCCCAGAGCAAGGGACAGCTTGCACTGTGAAGCAACAGCAGGCCGATGAGGCTTCGCATGCATCTCACCTCTGACACCACTAGGAGGCAGAGGCAGAGTACACAGTAGTATTTTCAACTTAATACTAAAGAAGCAGGGGCTGGAGATGCAGCTCAGTTGCTAGAGTGCCTGCCTAGCATTCGTGAGGACCTGAGTTCTGTCCTCAGAACTGCATGAATGGGCTGCGGTAGCACATGCCTATAATTGAGCTGACTAGGACAGAGGAAGTGAATTAGAAGTTCAGGGTCGAACTTTATAGAAGAGAAAGTGGGAAGTACACTTGAACGCATTGGCACAGGAGACCACTTCCTAAATATAACCCCAGCAGCATAGACACTGAGAGAAACAATTAACAAATGGGACCTTCTGAAACTGTAAAGCAAAGAACTCAAGAAATTGGTAACTAAAAGAACACATAATTCAATAAAAAAAAAAATGGAGTATAGACCTAAACAGAGAACTCTCAACAGAGGAATCTAAAATGGCTGAAAGACACTTAAGGAAATGTGCAACATCCTTAGCCATTAGAGAAATGAAAATCAAAACAACCTGAGATTCCATCTTACACCTGTAAGAATGGCCAAGATCAAAAACACTGATGACAATTTATGCTGGAGAGAGGAAAAGGGAACAGCAATTCTGCATTGCTGGTGGGAATGTAAGCTGGTACAGCCCCATTGGATGTCAGTGTGGCGATTTCTCAGAAAATTAGGAAACAACCTTCCTCAAGACCCAGTAATACCACTTTTGGGTAAATATCCAAAGGATGTTCAATCGTGTCCCAAGGACATGTGCTCTACTATGTTCATAGCAGTATTGTTTGTCATAGCCAAAACCTGGAAACAACCTAAATGCCCCTCTACCAAAGAACGGATAAGAAAAATGCAGTACATTTACACAATGGAGTACTACACAGCAGAAAAAGTAACAACATCTTGAATTTTGCAGGAAAATGGATGGAGCTAGAAAACATCATTTTGAGTGAGGTAACCCAGACCCAGAAAGACAATTATCACACATACTCACTCATAGGTGGCTTTTAAACATAAAGCAAAGAAAGCCATCCTACAACCCACAATCCCAGAGAACTTAGACAACAATGTGGACACTAAGAGACTTACATAAATACTCTACATAGGAAGTAGAGTAGAAAAAGACAAGATTTCCTGAGTAAATATGGAGCTTGGGGACCTAGGGGGAAGGCTGAAGCGGGGAGGGAGAGGCAGGGAGGGGAGCACAGAAAAATGTAGAGCTCAATAAAAATCAATAATAATAATAGAAGTTCAGTGTCATCCTCAGTTACACAGTGATGCCAAGGGGCAGGGGGTACACAAGATCCTGTCTCAGTGAAAAAACAGAACAAAACAAGCCCCAATAAATGAAATAATTTGTTTAAGATTCTAGGATAGTATTGGGCCTTGGATAGATTCTCCAGGACAGCATTAACCTAGGTTAGCATTGGACAGGATTAGCCTATGATAACGTTAGGATTAGTACAACATTAGCCTAGGACAGCACTAGCCCCCAGACATTAGGGCTTCTAATATCAAGGCTTTTTTACTAACTAGCACATGCTGGTCACTCGCGTGCCCACAAGCCACCTCCGCAGCTGATTTTCTCACGAGACTTAGTGTACGTGCCTACTGTAAAGAGCTACCGCTAAATCCGTCTTCAGAGAGAAAGGCATCTTCTCCCATCTCTGCCGCTAACCGCCGCGGACAGGTTTCCAGCCGTAGAGTGAGGGTGAACTAGAAGATTTTACAGGATATGCCCGTGTCTCATTCACTGTTAACACGATTGTGTCAATCTGGAGTCTGAGAGCAACAAACAGTACTGTCTGATATATGACTATGTTCACTTTCAAAAGTTACGCAGAGCCAGCCACGGGGTTCGGGGTCAAAGTCTTTACTGCTGAGCCTTAGGACTGTGGTCTCATCGCTGGGACCCACATGGAAGGAGCACCCACTGCATGTGGGTACCCACACATACATACATATACCATAAAGAAACCAAAACATTTTATAAGTTTATACAGAATCAACTTACTCTTTTTTCTTTTTGTACATGTGTGTTTGGGGTGCACATGACTGTGGAGACTCCAGGGCAGTCCTGGGAGTTCTCCTCTGTCGCTTCCTACCTTGTTTGGTTGTTGTTTTAAATGACATTTTATTTGTTTATTTAGCACGTGTGCATATGCCTGCATGCACCCAGATGCAGACACATGCCACAGCCTGGAGGTGGAGGTCAAAGACAACTGGTGGGGGGTTTTATGAGAAAGGGTCTCGCACTTTTACCAAAACACTCTAATTTGGCAAGGCTGTCTTCCAGCAGCGCCAGGGATCCTCCTGTCTTAGCCCCTGCCAACTGGATGTCAAGCCCATGTCACCACGTCCATCTTTCCATGTGGGTTCTAGGGGGCATTTCCCATTGAGTCATCTCTCCTGCCAGAGTGTTTGGCTACAAACACCTGCCAGGCCAGCACTGGCTTCTCCATAAGCTCTGCCCACTATTCTAGGTTTCTGTTAGAGACAAACCCTGCAGAGTCTACACTTTTATTACACTATTTATCTTATGTGCATGGCTGGGGAGGGTACATACATGTGTCATGGTGCACATGAAGAGGTCAGAGGACAAATTGGGGGGTCAGTTCTCTCCTTTCACCATGGATTCAGGGTCTGGGACTCAAGTTCGGGTGGTTAGCTTAGTGTCCTTATCACAGAGCCACCTCACTGGTATTGAGTTTAAACAACCTGCGCATGGCTAACAAGGCATTAAGAGATAAAGACAAAATGACACCGAATGGGACTCTTAGGTGCTTCTCCCCCCTCACTCTGATCACCTCTCCTTGCAGGCTCTGATATTTTGCCTTGGCAAGTGATAAGGACAGGTAAGAAAAGTTAAGGTGACCCTTGAAACAAAGAATGCCTGTGTGTCAGAGAGCAGCTTTCCTCACAGGGATGGTTACGGCTGCTTCCATCTGTCACAGAGACACCCCTGGGCCCACATCTGAAATGGCAGGGCAGGGAGATCTCCACTCAAGTGTCAAACCTGTGAACGCTGCCCTTGCAATTGCCAGGGACAACTTCTTTATTGGAATCCAGAGACATAAACTCCTGGGTTCTACATTCAAAGGCTGCAGTGGGTCACAACACAACCAGCTCGAGGGGAGCTGCCTCCGCTGACCGTAAATCACTCACTCTCACAGCCCTAACAACTGCTCTAGTTTCCTTCCCGTTGCTGGGATAGAATACGCTGACAAAAAGTGCTTAGGCGAGGGAGGAGTTATAGCTCATAATTCTAGGTTACGATCCACCACAGCAGGGAAGTCAAGGCAGGTGTGGGACAGCTGACCACACCACATCCACTGTCAGAGAGAAATGGATGCTGTTCCTCACTTGCTTGCTGGTCCTCAGCTCGATTTCTCTATGCTTCCATAGTCCAGAAACCCATCTACAGAATGGCGTTGCTCACAGCGGGCTGGGTCTTCCCACAGCAATTAACAATGAAGACAACTTCCCCAGAGGCCAACCTGTTCTAGACAAACCTCCATTGAGACTGTCTTCCTAGGCGATTCTAGATTGGGTCAAGCTGACCATCAGAGCATCTCTAACAGACACAGTCTAGGAGCTGTGAGTAAACCATTTCCCAGCCACCAGGGCACCACAGGTGCTCACAACCTACTCCTCAAGCAAACAGCTGGAACTTACGACCACTCTCCTTCTAGGTTTTCACATTAAAACAGCAAACAAATCAAAGCCCCTGGATACTAAGTGATGGAAATGCTAAGACAAACAGACAGATCAAAACCCCTGGATACTAAGTGACAGAGATGCTGAAACAGATGGACAGACAGACAAACAAACAGATCAAATTCCCTGGATACTAAGTAATGGAGATGCTGAGACAGACAGATCAAAGCCTCTGGATACTAACTGACAGAGATGCTGAGACAGACAGACAGACAGGACTCATTTGTACATGCTTTTCCAGACACAGCCCCAACCTCATTCCATGTCCATCTTCTCCATGAGCAGAGCTCTCCCACGGATTATACCTTCTTCTCATGGATCCGGAACAGGTGCTACCTCCGGGCTCCATGAGACTCTACCACATTGTGTAACTAAGTTGGGTATGGTGGTGCACACCTGTAATCCTGGCACTCGGAAAGTTGAGGCAGGAGAACCACTGCAATGTCAAAGAAATCAAGGGGTCCATGGTAAAACCTTGACTCAAAAACAAAACGTGATGTGTTTTTTTCAGCGTCATCACTTTGGGGCAACACAAATTTAAGTCCAGAATTGTTTTTCTGAAAAGATTCCCTAGTAAGCTCACAAAGCTGAATAAGCCAAACTCAACTTCTGAATTTACAATGCAGCCCTCTGTCATCGTCACTAAACACACATTTGATATTTAAGCTGGATGAATTATTATTATTGGTTTTTTTGAGACTGGGTTTCTCTGTGTAATAGCTCCGGTTGTCCTGGAATTCACTTTGTAGACCAGGCTGGCTTCCAACTCACAGAGCTCTGCCTGCCTCTGCCTTCCAAGGGGGCTGGGATTAAAGGTATACATTACTACTACCCAGGGTAGCTTATTATTAACAGGCACTACCTTAAACAGCAGAAAAGTAGCTGAGCTGGGGTAAGGGCTCAATGGGTAAGAGCACCTGGAAGCATAAGGACCTGAGTTTACATCCCCAGGAGCTATGAAAAAAAAAACCAAACAAACAGATGTATAATTTGAGATTTTTTTTTTGGATTTATTTTTTTTTAATTTTAATTTTTTTTTTTTTGAGACAGGGTTTCTCTGTTTAATAGCCCTGCCTGTCCTGAAATTCACTTTGTAGACCAGGTTGGTCTTGAAATAACAGAGATCTGACTGCGTTTGCTTCTGGGATTAAAGGTGTGCGCCACTACCACCCAGCTTAATTTGAAAATCTTTAATCTTAGCTCTTCTACAGAGAGATAGACAGTGGCAACAGGAGAATCACCAGAAACTCTCAGGGCTTGTTGTACACAGCCAAAAACCAACAAAAATACCCTGTCTTAAACAAGGTGAGAGGTGGGAACTAACAGCCACGCTCGTACCCTGACTGACGGTCGAATCCCTGCAAATGAGATCGAGCAGAATGCTGGACGTGCTACGACACAATGAAGTCAGAAACCAGATGCGCAGAGCACTGGATGCTGCTTCTAGAAGAGATACTATGCACCGGGCATAGAGGATCAACTCGCTCTACATCGAGGCCAGAGGCTTTAGTCTCCCTCTCTGGCTCGGAGCATCTTCACAAAGCTCCCACCCTCACTGGGAGTGGGGTCATGTGTAAGACAAATACAGCACGTATGGTGACGTTCCTGCTGGTGACTTTCCTGCGTAAGCTCAAAGCTACTTTGTCTTCCCAAAGCCATCGTGGGAAGGGGCGGGGCAGGGAGGCCCACTCACCACCTCCAGTTCTTGGTCTGTCCTCTAGAGCTGTTGTTACTTCTCTTCTGCCACTGGCGTAAGAAGGGGGCTGTGCACTCCAGCTGTTCTCCCTTAAAACCGGAACTAAGGACTTGGAGCATGCCAGTGGGTGCCTGTGTCCTGGTATGTGTGTAAAGCTGGCAGGGATACTAACATACATCCTTTGAGGCCGGCTCCTGGGTGACGTGTGACTTCTACAGGGAATATCTGGAGGCCATGCAGTGCTGGGACAGAGGCACACGGGCAAGGGGACTTACTGAGAGGTCAACAACGGTCTTGATGGCCTTGTCTTTTCTCTTTACGAAGTCATCGTCCTGCAAGATAGAACACAGGAATTCAACCAGTTCTACTGAGGACTAAACTCAGCTGGACATACAAATCTCCCTTATCAAACAACTGCCCATCACTGCTGGGCACGAATTAGCACAAAAACTGCTTTTCACGGTGTGTGTCTACATCCGTGTGTGTCCATGCATGAGCAGGTGCATAGGTGCATGCATGCTGGGGAGGGAGGGGAGAAGAAGCCAAAGCTGCCCTTCCTCAGGTGCTGTCCACCCTTTGTTTGGAGAGAATCTTTCATTGTCCTAAGCTGGCTAAGTAACCTAAGCTGGGTAGCCTGGGAGCCCTAGGGACCTGCCTGCCTCGACGTCCCCAGGGCTGGTATTTACCTTTTAAAATGTCTATTCAGGAATTAAATTCAGTACCTCCTGCTTCCAAGGAGCTATCTCCCCAGCTCTCAATTTTCTTATACAGGGGAATACATCTCCCCTGGGAAAAAGCTAGGGCCTCTGCAAATAACACCCCAGAGCCTTACAGTAAGTAAGAGAGAGAGGCCATGGAGCTCAGTGACTCAGACAAACACCGCATGCCCAGTCCTTAAAAGCACTGAACGTTCCAGCCAGAGCCTAAACTCTAAGCCTCAGTTCTTCCATCTGCGAAAGAACAGCATCAGCGCCTACATGATGGAGCAGTGGCCGGGATGAAGATGGAAGACAGCGATGTGCTGGAGCATTTGATGGTGCTTAGTGATCTTATTGCCGCAGACACGATAAACTGTGCCCACAGGAAATGTGCTACACAAGCAGTCTCCTAAAAACCTTTTTACAAAACAGAATTGTGGGCCAAGGAGGTGGTTCAGGCAGTAAAGTACCCACCCCACAGGCATAAAGCCCTGAATTGGCTACGCCCCAGCACCCAGGCGAGGTGGCACTATTGATAAGCATGGCACTGGGAGGATCAGCCAGTCTAGATGAGTCCATAACCTCTAGGCTCAGGGGAGATCTGCTTCAAAAATAAGAGAGAAAAGAAAACAGAAAAAAGGAGGGGCATGGAGTGACTGAGGGAGGTACCTGATGTCAATCTGTGGTCTCTACACATGTACACGAACATGACCATGTGTACAATACATGCAAGCTTTTGCAATTTAGTAAAAGTTCTGAGTCAAATACTAAACTTAAAAACAACAGAGCTGTAGAGATTTATCCTCAGTGCCATCCAGAGAGCAATTCTAATGAAGCACAAGGCTGTTCTGAGGTGCCAAGTGGAGGGTGAGGTGCAGGAGAACCTACCTGCACCTCACCCCAGCACTCTCAGGGCACACTCACACCAGCAAGGAGGGAAGAGCACACACAAGCTTGGTCAGGGATGCTTCTTCTGCAGTGGGCAGTTAATACCGAGAATTCTGACTGGCCAAACTGCTAAAAAATATACACTTGCTGCGTGTTCAGCCCTATGGGAGACATGTACATCAACTGCTGCATGGCGCAGGGGACAACACAGGAGAGAATGCAGAAAGAATGCAAGAGCTGGAGGATGAGGAGAAGAGCTGCAGAATATGTCACGCAGCTGCTGCACCCACGAAGTCACCGCACCTGTGACCTCCTGCACAAGAGCAGTCAATATCCTGCGAGGCAGGCAGCACTAACTAACCAGGTGGGTAACAGAAAGTAAGGGAGGAGGGCGTGGGTGGGGGATGAGCAGGTGTTAGAGTCTGTCCAGGGTGGGTTGGAAGGAGCTGGAAGTAGACAGGATCAAGATACCTTATACATGTGTAAAATTAAAGATTAGAAGGGAAAACCCCAGCACGCTGGAGCGATGGCTCAGTGGTTACGAGCGCTCACTGCTGTCAGGGGACACAAATCAGCTTCCTAGCATGTGTGCCACGTGGTTCACAACTTTGTACTCTAGGTCCAGGAGCATGACTCCTTTAGCTTCCTTGGGCACTTGCACTCACGTAAACACACACGCACACACACACCACAAATAAGATAAATCAAAAAGAAAAAAGAAAGAAGGAAAGAGAAAAGAAAGAAATTAGGACTGAAGACGTGAACTAGAGAGAAGAGAGTGGCGCAGGTACTGACCTCTGGGAGGCTGTAGGTCTTCTGGAACTGGGAGATAGAATAGGAGCGGATGTAGTCGCCCATTTCTTCCTTTGTTTCTATAGCTCGCTTCACCAGCCACTGGGGAAGAAAGAAGTGTGAGACGACAGTGAAACTGCTGGGCCTCTGAACTCAGACTGGCATGACTGAACTGACCTGGTGGGGAGAAATCACAAGTACACACTGCTCCACTGGAAGAACAAAGCGCTGGGCATCTGAGAAGTTAAGCCCTGGTGACCTTGTGTGATCAGTCGGGAAGTAACTGTGCAGGGTTTGAAATCTACATCCACATCACCAGACAGGACTGGTGGAAAGGGCAAGTTTCTTGACATTCTTTTTTTCTTGAGACAGGGTCTCATGTAGCCCAGGCTGACCTCAGACTCACTATGTAGTTGAGGATGAACCCAAGTGCTGGGATGACAGGCATGTAGTACAATGCTTATGCCTTACTAGGGATGGAACCCAGGGCTTATTCGTGCTAAGGAAGAACTCTACCAACCAAACTCCATCACCACTCTCAGTTCCTTGATATTCTCTCTCTCTCTCTCTCTCTCTCTCTCTCTCTCTCTCTCTCTCTATTTACTTGTATTTTACACGTGTGGGTGCTTTGCTCACATGCATGTCTGTACACCATGTGCATGCACTGGCTAGATAAACCAGATTCCCCTGCACCCACAGTTGCAGATGGCTGTTGGCTTCCATGCGGGTGCTGGGAATTGACTGGATCCTCTGGGAGAACAGCCAGTGCTCCTAACTGCTGAGACATTTCTCCAACCCCTCAAAAGTCTTTTGTTTTTAAAGATTTACTTTATTCTATTTACGAGTGTATGTGTGCACAGGGGGACACACACATAAGTGAGGGAGCCTGCGGAAGCCCGAAGAGAGCGCAGGATCTCCGATACCCAGAGACATCGTGGCTGAGAACTGGTGACGTGTGTTGGAAACTGGACTCTGTGCCTCTGGAAGAGCAATGAATGCTCTTAAGAGCTGGGCCATTTGCCCAGCCCCAAGATAGATATTCTAGAGCAAAGACCTACAACTTGAATAAAGCAGCTCACAATGTTAGAGCTCTTAGTGAACCCTGGAAGCTCAGGGCAGCTGAACTCAGAGATTCGCCTGCCTCTGCTCCCTGAGTGCCGAGATTAAAGTATGTGCCACCACAGCCCAGCTTCAGTGGCCAATCTTAATGCCACTATTTTTTTTCTGTTTGCTTGCCACGAGGTGAAAAGGAGTACAACTGAGAACTCTTGGCGTAACCCCTCTTCCTTCCGTTAGACAAAAGAAATCCTTAGGTGGTAGAAGATTATATACAGAGGACAGAGCCTCAGAGAGCCTCAGACATTGGGATCATTGGGACATTTTCTAAATTCTTGTGACATTTAAGGTAGATGGAACTGAGTTCATAGAATCTCGCGGAGACACCACATTCCTTTGCTCAGTGATCTACAGCTACAAAGATCTAAAGCTGGGAGTCACACCTGGGAGGCTGCCACATCATCAAAACAGGTGATGGTTTTATTACTGTTATTGCTATTATTAACAAGGCGTTTTTTATTGATTAATTGAAAATTTCACATAATGCAGCCCAATCACATTTACTTCCCAATCTTCCCAGGAATATCTCCCACCCTTTTGACCTCCCCCAAAACAAAAGAAAAAAATGCCAAGTCTAATTTGTGTTGCCCATATACTCACTAGAGCATGGTCAAACTCTCAGTAGCCAGTCCCTTAAAGAAAACCGAGTCCTTTCCACCCCTCTCCCTACCAGAAGCCATCAACTGTGAAGAGCTACACTTGAGCATGCCTATCACAATTTCTAAGAGTTCTCTTCAATGGCTTCAAGTCTAGACTGTTTCTTTTGGGCGGGGTTGTCACAGAACCCTTCCACGATTCTCATTCTCAGCTGTGAGTCTGCAGTCATTGACACCCCGGCAAAAGAAGCTTCCTTGCCCTTTGCAGTCAGCGGGAGCACAGACTATGGACTTCTACATGGCTTCTGGCTGCAACAAGGGCCACAGACATTAACATGACTTCAGGTAGAAAAAAAAACACCAGATGGACTATTATGGTTCCCAGTCCCATGAGGTTGGGGTCTGGAAGCCCACAAACCCCCTCTTCCTAGTTTCCAGCTCAAAAACTCCAGGGATTAAAACACACACACACACACACACACACACACACACACACACACGCTGTTATGTAACATTTCCCTCCAGGACTGAAATATTCCATCCTACAGAAACACTCCTTAAACAAGACTGCAAACATCTCAAAATGATGTCAGGAATTCCCCAAAATTGACCAGATTCACTAGGCCCCTCCTTGCCAGAGTAAGCAACAAAGACTGAGAAACTCTCCCAGACGGAAGGAAGGCAGGCTGTAAAGAAGACTCTCAGACAACCAAAGCTGCAGAGGACTCTGAGCAGCAGCCTAGAAGCAGCAGAAACCAGGGCAGCTCCCTGGAAGAGGTTGAGACCTGGAAAGGACACTCTCCACCCTGTGGAGCTGCCTGCAGGCTGTGCAGGGTGCTCCAGGTTCCCAGCTTTGTGAGCTGTCAGCTATGCTCAGGTGGGCCCTGTACGCCATTAGTCATTTCTGCTCCTGTAACTAATTCCTCACCCACATTCCTGTAAGTCTTAGAAAACCCACTGGTTCACCAGGTTGGACTGTGCTGGTATCCACACTTTGATCTGTTGTAGGCTCCCTGCCTGAGGTGAGTAGACAGAAGTGTATGTCTCCCCAGGAACAGATCTGTCACACAACATATGCACAAACACAAATATGCGCAACACACACACACACACACACACACACACACACACACACACACACCCTGTGGACAAGGCAAGCACTGAGTCTCTACTTGTTCCTGCTCTTCATTCATTCTTTCCATCATTCAAGAGCACACTGGAAGAGAGAACCACTTGTCAGAGTTGACAGTCCCTCCTCAAAGAGCACTCCTACATCCTCAAAGCCGTTTGGGGACAGTGGGGTTTACCAACTCACGGCATGCTTGACCAGGTCAAGTTGCCTAGACACTGAGATATATGGCCCATGGCAGGGCACTCCTGTAGGAATAGATAAGTTCTATAGTTAATTTTTTTAACGACATGTATGCAGGCATAGCTCAGAAGTGGAGGTGGGAGAACAACCTTGTGGAGTCACTTCTCCTCGTCCATCTTTATGTGAGCTCTGGGGATCACATTTAGGCCTCCGGGGTTTCACTGTGCTTTACCTACAGTCATCTCAATGACTCAAATTCTGCATGTTCTGCAGCCAGCACACATAAAGGGCATGCTTCGGAAGCAGGTGCCCAAAATAGGTTAGCTTCATGAAAATAACATGCTACACAGCACATATACCATGGGACACGTTCCTGTGCTCTGCACACCCTAGGAGGAACGTTCTTCTGTTATTAATTAGCACCTCTTCCGCTTATTTCACATCAGCCCCAGCCCCACCCCTGTGGACCCCACCTGAAATCATGAGCAGGGCAGGAAGGGAGAGAATCAGGCTGTATTGGAACCTCCTCTGTTCCCACCAAGAACCATGGCCCTGGGTCCCGTGGTGTCTGCCCTAGTTTCCTTTCTGTTGTCGTGCTAAAAAATCCCAACATAAAGTAAAGCAGGAGAGGAAACGTTTATTTCATCCCACAGTTACAGGCCACGCCCAGCCAAGGCCAGAGAGAAAGGACGCATGCAGGCCTAGCCTCAGTTAACTTTCGCTACTCTTACAGAGTCCAGGGGACCAGACCAGGAGTGGTGCTCACTCCAGGTGGGGTCTTCCCACAGCCATTACAGCGATCACAGACACCCACAGGTCAAGCTGACCTACACAACGCCGTACGACCCCCTCCCAGTGTGGTTCTAGGTTGTGTCACACTGAGGATGAGAACACAAGAACTAACCATGTAGCCAGGTGTGGTGGCACATGCTGTTAATCCCAGCACTATGGAGGCAGAGGCAGGCCGATCTCTGTGAGTTTGAGGCCAGTCAGGTCTACAGAGTGAGTTTCAGGACAGCCAGAGATACACAGAGAAACCCTGTCCCAAAAAATAAAATGAAAAACCAAACTAACCATGCAGCGTTCATCTCAGTTCATCTCTACCTCCTTGTGGGTGGCTCACTGGACCCTGGTTCTGACCTTTCGTGTCTGTTTCTGTTCCACGTGAGGAGACGTTCTTTGGTTACAGAGAGTGCGATCCGGCAGAGGAGGTAAAGAAGGCTGCATCCCAGGAGCCCCTCAGGGAACCTATTCAAGAGTCCCCACTGTCAAAGCTAATGGAGGGAACCTCCTAACAGACAGCCACTTTCTACTGTGACTCCCCTAGCACCGAAAAGAGCATCTACTTTCATAGACTCAGATCCCGCATGGGAGGAAAAGGCGTGTCTTAGCCAGCTGCTCTAGTCTACTTGGCAAGCAGACACCAAATGATCAATATCCAACACTGCCCTCTGACTTTCATATGCATGCCCTCACATGTATGCACATACACATGGACACCTACACACACTTGTAGGCCCCCACACGTGTGCACTAACAAACATATGTGTGCCAACAACACACACAGAGTTGAAAAAGAAAAACAGCATCTGATGGGAACATTCAAAGATCGTAGCAGAGGCCACTGTGAGACTATGGCACATGGAATACCAGCCACCTTTCTGAGAATGATGGCCAGGATACCTATCAAGTATGCTGCACCAAATCCATCCTGCACGCACTAGACCCAAGGTCCAGGCTGGGCTGTCTGAGAGCCAGATGGGTTCCAGGAACTCTTAATTCAGAGACAAGAATCCACACAGAAGCCCTCACCTGCACAACAGGGAATATGTGAATAAAATCCATGCCCTGGATCTGGTGGGGCTCCAGCTGGTGGGGACACTTCATCCTTGGGAGAACTGAGACGATCTTTTCCGATAGAGCTCTGTCCAGAAAAAAAAAAAAAAAAAAAAAGCGGAGTGAGGACCTGCTGAGAGGCTCTGAAGACATCTCTAATGTTCAAGTCGTCCTGCGGAAAATCTCGGCATCCGGGAAGCATAATTCAGCTGTGTGCAAGTATGGTCACAAAACTGAGTCTTCTCCCCTCTACTGCCTCCCCCCTTTCTTTCTTTTGGCAAGGTCTAATGCAGCCCAGGCTGCCTCAGACTTGCTAAGGAGACAAGGATGATCCTCTGTCTCCACCTCGGTGCTGGTGCTGGTGTCACAGGCGTGTGCCACCATGCCCTATTACACGTGGCGCTGGGATCATCCACCCAGACTCTACACTCTGCTGGTTCAGGTTCCTGGCTCAGGGTTGGTCTTTATGATCAGCACAGCATCATGCTGTTCTTTAGTGCCATCTTCTTCAACCGGAGGGGTGCTCCCTCTAGTGGGCCACAGAGCTATAGCTTATATCTATACAATGAACCTTAAAATTCAGCTTCAGATCCAGAGGCTGAGACTTCAACAACACACAGCCAGACTTATGCCTTTAGAGAGGGTTCTTTCTCCCTGGCCACTCCTCATAGCCAGCTTAATCAGGCAAGTCATAAACGCCCGGAGGGAAGGATATAGCAAGTCATTGTGGGTTTTATGAGTCTCTTAAAACTGCCTCCCAGAAACTACAGCCAAGTCTAGACAGTCCCAGTGACAAGTGGAAGTGGTTGCCAGCACCAACCCTGATGGCAGGAGAGACAGGGAAGGACGCACGAAGCGGGGAGGGGCGGGGGCGCAGGGCAGGGGAAGGAAGTAAGGAAGACTTCTTAGAGACCATCACCAGCCACCTCTGCTTTGCCAGGGAAACTCGGGCTTCCCGAAAAACTCAGGGGAAGGAGTGTCCTGAAGAGCTTGTCAACCTGACACAGCCTGGATCATCTGAGTGGAGAGCCTCAATTGAGGTACTGCCCAGATCAGACTGGCTTGTATGTAAGCCTGGGGTTAACTGCTATAGGAGTGCACAGTCCACGGAAGGGAGCACCATCCCTACGCAGGTGTGTAAGAAAGTTAGCTAAGCATGAGCCTGGAGGTGAGTGAGTTGGCAGGATTCTGCCACGGGTACTACTCCCGTTCCTGCTCGAGATGCTGCCCTGACTTCCTCAAAGATGGACTGTGACCTGTGCTCCAAATAATCTCTTTCCTCTCCTAAGCTGCTTTTGATCATGGTGTCTATCACAGCAACTGAGCAAAATTAATAAAACAAGGGACAGTACAGGTCACCAGGCAAGCTTCCTAGCTTAAGATTTTAGTACGACCACTGCCACTACAGACTACAAATCTGACTTTAAGGGTATTTTCTTTTTAGACAGGATCTTGTCATAGCCCAGGATAGCCTCAAAATTGTAATCCTCCTGCCTCAGCTTCCTGAATGCTTGGATTACAGGTGTGCACCACACACCCAGCCATAGACACGCTATTTCCTCCTCCACCATAGTCGACTTGTCCTGGATCTAAACCCCAGTTCTATCACCACCTCTGGGACTTCTGGCTCACCAGCTCGGGCTGACAGACCCACAACAAAACAGCTGGGTGAGGAACAACCCAGGGGAAACAACTGGGACAGAAGATGACTCAGAGGGTAAAGACATTTGTGGTAAACCTGACAACCTGAGATCAGTCTCCAGGACCCACATGGTGGAAGGAGAGGGCCAACTTTCACATGTGTCCAACTCCACATGCAAACCACAGAACACATACACACACGCACACAGAGTAAAACACTTAAAATGTGGGAGGGGAAAAAATCTCACCTGTCCAAAGGCAGGACAAATGGCAAATCGCATGCACAGCGCTGGGAAGAGGTTCCCTTCACCTAGAACCCTGTCCCCTCAAGCCTCAGTCCCACAGCAGCCCATGCTCATGGCACTCAAACCTGCACACGGCTCCCACCTTGCTCCTCTCCACACTCTCCCCAGCTGCAACTGCTCACGGTGCTCCCACTGTGCTCCTCCCCACATTCTCCCCAGCTGGAACAGCTCAAAGTGCTCCCACTGTGCTCCTCCCCACATTCTCCTCAGCTGCAACTGCTCCCACTGCTCCCACTGTGCTCCTCCCCACACTCTCCCCCAGCTGGAACAGCTCAGAGTGCTCCCACCGTGCTCCTCCCCACACTCTCCTCCAGTTGGAGCTGTTCCCTGTGCTTATGCAGCTTCCATATAATTTTACTCCTCCAAGATTGACTTTTTACTTTTTAATTATGTATGTGCATGCCCAGAAAAAGGCATCGGATTCTATGAAGCCAGAATTAGGCTGTGCTGCCTAGTTTTATGTTACCTTGACACAAGCTAGTGTCATTTGGGAAGAGGGACCACCAGCTGAGAAAATACAGCCACAAGAATGACCTGTGGGTAAGTCGGTGGTGCATTCTCTTTAATTGGATATTGATGGGAGCGGGAGGAGAAGGCCCAGCCTACTGTGTATGGTGCCACCCAGGCTGATAGTTCTGGGCTGTGTAAGAAAGCAGGCTGAGCCAAGCCTTGGCGAGCAAGCCAGTAAGTAGCACCTCTCTAGTTGCTGCCTCCAGGTCCCTGCCTTGGCTTCCTTCTAAGACAGACTGTGACGTGAAACTCTGAGTGAAATAAACCCCTTCCTCCCAAGCTGCTTTAATCACTAAGGTGCAACACAGAGAGCTGTGAGCTGCCCAACCTTGGTGCTGAGCTCAGAACTCTGACCCCCTGCAAGAGCAGTGTGCATTCTTAGCCATAAAGCCATTTCTTCAGCCCCATAGTTTATCCTTATTTGATATCTGTAGGGCCATACTAAGTATAAGCTTTGCTAAGGCAGGGCACGTCTCCTGAGTGTTCCCAAAGAGCCCAGGACAATGTCTGACCCACAGTATTTATACGGTCTCGATGAATGTTTATTGAAAAGATTAATGAAGAGACTCTTTCAGTTTTCTCCTTTACACTGGCAAGATGGCTCAGTAGGTTAAGAAACTTGCCACTAGGCCTGACAACCTGAGTTCAATCCCTGGGACCTAAATGATGGAAGGAGAAATTAATTCCCTCAAGCTATCTTCTGATCTACACACACACACACACACACACACTTCTAATTGCCATTAGGTGAAGAAAATTGTATTTCCTCTTTTTTCTGAGCTCATTCCTGTATTTAATAATTACCATAAAACAATTATACATTTAAGAATCTACCTGCAGATAAATTATAGAAAATTAACCATTAGCATAAACATTCTGCCCGCTCTTATCATTTCGAAGGTAACGTTAGGATGGTAGTTGGAGGTGGAAGGCCAAACAGAGATGCTAAAATGTCTACTCTAAATACTTAGAAATCACATGATGTTAGTGGGTTAAGAAGAAGCGTGGGCTGGGGAGATGGCCCGGTGAGTAAAGCGAACGTCTTGGCAAGCCCAAGGACCTGAGCTGTAATCCTAAAACCCATGGGGGAGTCAGGCGTGGGCATACACCACTGGAATCCCAGCCTTCGAGAGGTGTAGACACACTGGCCTATCAACCTAGTCTACTTGGCAAGTTCCAAGAGTAAGAGACTCTGTCTTTCAAAAAGTAGACAGTGCTTAGGAACAAGAGCTCATCCCCAGGCTTGCTCACACAACACACACGCGCGCGCACACACGCACATGCACACACACACGCGCACACACACACACGCACACACACACACAGGTTAAACACAGCCTCACAACATGAGAAATGAAAAGGATGAGGACATAAACATGTAAGCACCGTCTCCACCATAAAGCCCCTCCCCCCTCAGACCTTCTATGGCAAGCCCTGGGAACTTACATTTTTTGCCCGATGGTAGAGTTTTCCTGAAAGAGCAGATCCACGTCCACGTCGAAGTTGCAGGTGCTGATGCACCACGTCATCCCTCCCACTACCTGCAAGGGAGAGCGCTGCTTCTCAGGGATGCTCAGGAAGGGAAATGGGGCAGGGGGAGGGGCATAGACTCCTACACACTTCACACAGGCTCAGTAAGTACACAGAACTACAACTGTCTGGTGTGGTTGCATGTGTGTTCATGTGTGTGCACATGCACATGGAGGCCAGATACCAAACTCTGGTATTGATGCTCAGATGCTGTAGACCTTGTTTATTGAGACAGTCTCTCACGGGCCTGGATCTTGCCGATTTGATCATGCAGGCTGGCCCCAGAGCCCTGCAGATTTTCCTGTCTCCGTGTCCCCAGTGCTGGGATGAAAAGTACCCACCACAGCACCCAGATTTTTACACGGATTCTGGGGCTTAAACTGGGGTTGTCACACATATATAACACTTTACTGACAGCTGACTCCACAGTCCTCCCAAATGATGTATCTTTAGAGGGCGTGTCTTCCTTACCCACCATTCATCAGCCAGCACTGCTCTAAGTCCCCTGCAGTGGTGGCAGTGGCCATGCCTACACTGTGACGCTGTGTGCTGCAGCAGCGCCTGGCGCCTGTGCTGCCGGTGTCACTGAGAAGCTGACTGTGACCATGAAAACGTCTCATCCCTCATAGAGCCTCTTACAAGGGAGGGTCAGACACCATGTGTTCAGAGATTTCTTTTGTATGTGTGTTTGTGATACGTGTGTGCACGTGTGTGTGGTCACCTGTTTGTGGGCATCTGGAGGCCAGAGAGACATCAGGTGTCCTCTATTGTTCTATGCCTGAAGTTTTTGAGACAGGGTTTCTTGCTGAACTTGGAGCTCACCACAGCTGGGGTGTCCCGGGGATTCTCTATCTCCCCAGTGCTGGGACCACAACTGCCCACCACCACGGCTGGCTTTTCACATGTGTTCTGGAGACTGAACTCAGACCCTCATGCTTGCGCACCTATGAGAGATTTCTTAACCCTGCTTCCGAGTGCCAGATTGAGAGGCATTATGAGTTTGACCAACTGGCCACGTGGGTAGCAAAGCTGACATTCTCTGGCTCCTTATTTAAAAGCTGAGATGTACAATAAAATGCACATTTCCAGGTCCCAAGCCCAGACCAGCCTAGGCAGAAGTTCATTGGAGAAGGCATGGACATGCTTCTTACAAGCATCCCTCGCAGGTTCCTGTGAAAATGGGAGGAGGGTGATACTCCAGAGCACTGAGCTCAAGCTCCAAAAGTTTCCCTGGCCTTCCTTGCCATTGGTCCCAGATGCTTGAGGAGCACAGTCTATTCGGTGTCATATAACTTAGCCCCTGCCCGATGGTTCACTTGTCACTCTTCTCTGTAACAGGGGACATCTCTGGGCAAAGGGCTACTGTTTATCTCTGTGTCCTCAATACCCTTTACTCTGTCCTATGTACATTAACTGTTCACAGTTCTCTAAATTTAAAAGATGCCATCCCGGGGCTGGAGAGATGGCTCAGTGTTAAGAGTGCCCGCTGCTCCTGCAGAGAACTTGAGTTTGGTTCCCAACGCCCACACTGTAACTCCAGCCCCAAGAGATCCAATGCCCTCTGCCAGCCTCCATGGGCACCTGTACACACGGACACACTTATACACTTAATTAAAAATCTTAAGATCCCGTCCCATGGTGAAGCTCCCACCTCTAAACATAGCAGCTGCCATCTACAGAATATCTGCCACTGTTTCTAAGTATGTGGTTCAGTATACCTATGAACTCAGGCTATTTTCTATATATACTTTATTATTTCTTTCCAAATTGTATGCACCTTAAAAGAGAAACAATTTTGTGTGTGTGAGTTCTGTTCATGTGTATGCATGTGTACATACACATACATGCAAACATGTAGAGGCCACGGGTCCACTAGTTGACACAGGGTCTCTCACTGTCCTAGAACTTATCAATTTGGCTGGGTTGGCCAGTCAGGGAGCGCCAGGGATTTGCCTGTCTCCACTTTCCCAGTACTGGAATTATAAGTATGCCATCATGCCTGGCTTTTAAAAAAAAACAAAAAACAAAAAACCAAAAACCATGGGTTCTAGGGATCCAAGTCAGGTCCCCATGCTTTCCCAGCAAGTATTTTACTGACTGACTGAATCATCTCCCCATCTCCCCAGCCTGAGAAAATAGCTCTTTTGCTTATTCACATTTCCTAAAACACAGTGTACAGAAAAAGAATACAATTGAATCTACTGACTTATAATTCTCTTTGAATAGAAAGTATGAGTACATCCATGACGAATCTGGCTTGGAAGGAATGGTACAGAGGAAGTAAAAACACCATCACTTCATCCTCCACTACCCTTACACTAACCATGCTATTGAAGAATAGCGAACAGCCTAGTGGTTAGCAAGGCTTTCTCTTACCTTGTCAAAAGGAGACAAGCCTTTAATCCTTGCTCTGAAATACCCAGCTGCAACCAAGAGCTCCAGAATTTCAGTCAACTTGACATTTTGTTCTTCATCTTCTCTCGTTTCCACCTGGAGAAAATGGATGTGCATAACTGATAAAGGCCATTTTGACAGAATGGAAATGAAATACAACCTTCTGGTGCCATGGTCACATTGCCAAGAGTCTTGGTGACTTCAGCTGAATCACTGCACTATTTTCTCAAATCTCCTAAGTTGGCTCAGTGGACAGAGCACTTATCGCATCGGAATGAGGACCAGCGTTCAGGTTCTCAGAAGCCGTGTAAATGCTGGGCAGGCATGATGACCACCTGTGGTTCCACACAGGAAGGCAAAGACCACAAACTAGCTATCAGTAGTTAGACTAGCCCAACTGGTAAGCTCTGGGTTCAGCTGAGAGGTCTTGCCTCAGTAAATAAGGCAGAGACGGACTGAGGAAGGAACCTGATGTCAACCTCAGGCCTCCACATGCACTTGCATATTCGACATACACATGTAGTCACACACATGTGAACATCCATACATACATGCATAGACATGTGTAGACACCACACACACATGAATAAAATAGGAATCCTTCAGCCATCGTGTGCCTTGAAGATGCTGCCAAGAGGAGGACACTGCATCCCAGAAGGACCACCGCCCACCTCAACTCACGCTCACAGCATTCCCGCAGGCTACTGTGCAAGTGTGCGGCCTAAGGCCTCTTGTTCACTCACCCTAGAATGCAGAACTAACTATACTTTTACAAGAGAACCAGGGAGATAAGTTTTGGCACAAGACACTGAGTGGGGATGTTTGATTCCAAACTCACTTTACCCATCTGCACTGCAACAAAATGGGAAGGGGTCACGGGCTGATGCACTGAGAACAAAAACCAGCATTTCTTAAAGCCATAAAAAGAAACCCACACTGGTTAAAACGTCCAGTTACTAAACCCAGAACACCAAGGGTCAGAGAGAGAGATAGTTCAGTGGTTGAGTGAAGAGATCGTTCTTCTAGAGGGCCCAAGTTCAGTTCCCCTAGCCCACACCAGGCAGCTCATAACCACCTGAATTCATCTCCAGCGTATCTGACACCTTCCTCCGGCCTTCATGTGGACCCAAAGTCACTCACACATAAAGACACACAGACATATACATAAGTAAAAATAAATAAGCCTGTAACCAGGGCACCGATGAAGAAGAATCACCATGAGCCCTTAAGCTAGGCCAAATAAACTCTCAAGTATAGCTCCCAGAAGCTTGAAGGGTCTAGCTATCTTTCTTTCTTTAATATAAACACAAAGGGGCTTCAAAGCTGAATGGCATGAATTAACTGGATTAGTGAGAGCCAAGTGACAGGAATGCTGTTTTGTTTTTCAAGATAGGGTCTCAAGAACCTGAGGTTGGCCTTGAACTTGCATGCACCACCACCCAATTTTTGCTGTGCTGGGGACAGAACCCAGTGCTCAAGCATGTTGAGCATGCTAAGCAAGCACTCTCCATGAACCCTCATTATTAGGATCTTTTAAATTTTATCCTTGTGCTATAGTTTTAGGATACAAGTCCATAATTTTTCTTAAATGTACATCTATGCAATACTATATGATACAGGCATTGTTTTGTTTCCCCTGTGTTCTGCTTTTTCTTTTTTGAGACAGGGTCTCCCTATGGGTGTCACCCTGGCTGGTCTGGAATTCTCTATGTAGACCAGGTCACTCTGGCTGGTCTGGAACTCTCTATGTAGACCAGGCTAGAAAAGAGCAACAAACTAGAGCCAGGCTCCTGCAGTCCACGAAGAGTCGAGCAAACTCAGAAGAGTGGACATCCACTAACGTGAAGGATTTAAGGTAGAACTGGAAGCCTAGACAGGACTCTATAGCAGAAGGCCCAAGCCTTGGCGCTGGAACAGAAGCGCAGGCAGTACAGTGCTTGCCTCACCCACATGAGGGTCTGAGTTCAATCCCCAGATTCCCACATAAACGACCCAGGCATGGTGGTGTGTACTTGTAATCCCTGGGACAGAAGGATCCCTGGGACTCACTGGCTGACCAATCCAGCCCATCTGGTGAGCTCCAGGCCAATGGCACTGTTTCAAAGGTTTTCAGTGTTCTTGAGGACAAGGGAGGCCATATTCTGGCCACCACACACGTGTTCACATATGCACGTCAACACACACACACACACACACACACACACACACACACACACACAGAGAGAGAGAGAGAGAGAGAGATTAAGTAGCAAAGAAAAGCTGAAGCATTACAGTGCAGACCCCACTTGGCACAACCCCAGGTAAAATCAGAACAACACATACATGAAATTTTATCCGGTGCAGGGGCTGCGACAACTGATGACCACGTCAGCCCTTCCGTTACTATATACTCATCCGAGCACAGAACGCTGCGATTGTGTAATGAGTACGATGAAGAAGTAACAGCCGGATTTGTGAGGGGCACAGGGAGGCAAGATAGGTCCAGGAGAATATCAAAGGGTACTAGGCACAGTGTCAAAGAACCAGGCACACCTCTGCCAAAGCCAACCTTAGAAAGGGGTCCAGGCGCAGCAGGGGTGTTCCCTATTTCTCTCTGAAAACTGGGACTCTTCACTGAGCTCTGGACTTTGAGTAAAGCAACTGGAAGAATAACTGGAAATCCGGTAACCAAGCTCTAACGGTGGCCCAAAGAGGATAGCTGAGTTTTTATTCCGTGCAAGCATAGAAATCCTGTCCCTAGGATGGAACTAGTACAGACCAAGTACTGGAGTACAACCACACCGCACGTGAAAAGGCGGTCCCTCTTTAGTACAAGCAGCAATCCTCCTGTCGAGGCACAAGGCACCACAAGAGAGGGTGTCCTCAACTCTGCCACCACCCCGATGAGCGCAAGGCTCTCAAACTTCCTCCATCCTCCCGAGCCTGGGGAGCGGGGGCTCTACAAGCTGGGAGGGGGCATTCCTTCCCGACAAAAGGGACTGAGAGGCTGGCCACCTGGACCCCCGCAGAAGGAGACTTGTGTCCCAAGGTCACCGCCCTTGGACACCAGGGGACAGGACAGTCCCACTGAACGTCTGTCTCGTGACTGCTGAGACTCCAGAGCGCAGCAGTCTTGGCCTCGGGAAGCCAGTCTCGCAACGTGAGGGGCTTCTAGACAGCCCGAGACAGCGACTCCCGGGGACCTCGTGATGAATGAGGTTGCATCTGGGCAGGGATCTGGATGTTCCCCGTCCCCAGAGGACCCAGGAATCTTTAAGTTTGCACCCAGCAACACGCTGCACCCCTGCACGCCGAGGGACCAGTCAGTTGTCCCTCCAGGGTATCTAGGGCCCGCCTTGGGGCAGACACCTCTGAACAACGGCATAGTGTCCCCACCGCCTCCCAAGCCGGTCCCTGCCCGCCGCCCCGGGCTCGGCCCTCTCTCCCCAGCAACCCCAGGGTGTCAGGGACAGAGGTCCTCACCTCGGGGAGCCCCTGGCCCTCTGGCCCTTTGGGTAGCCCCATGATCCGGATGCGCTGATGTGGTGTGGGAGGGAGCGGGTCCTACAACCGAACTGTGATCCGGGTGGGGTGCAAAGCGGAAACTTCCTTCACAGGAGCTGACACTACCACAGCCGGTCGGAGAACCGTGGCCCCGCTGAGCATGCGCACTAGGGCGGAAGCGCTGTGCCACTGCGCCTGCGCAAGGGCAGAAGGAGCGGCTGAGCGGGGCGGGACTAAGTAGCCGATCCTCCCACTCAGGGGCGGTACTGAGCTGAAGATTCCGCCCAGGCTACTTTTTCTTTCTTTTTATTTATTTATTTATTTATTTTTCCTTTTAAATTTTTTTCCCTTAAAAATATTTTCTTTCTATTTTTTTTAGTTTTTTTCTTTCCTTCTTTCATTTTCTTGACACAGTGCCTTAGTCAGCCTGGCTTAGCATTTGCTGCATAGCTAAGGAGGACCTTGGATTTATGATCCTCCTGCTTCCACACCCCACATAATGAGATTATAGGTATATGTCACCATGACCAACTCTATTTTTAAAAATCAGTTTACAAAGCAGCGGATTTCCTTATGCCATTTTCATAAACCTTAGTTTTACTTGAACGCCCATCTTGTTTTCTCATTGTCCCATCCTTCCCTTCTTACAGTATCCCTCCTTTAAGCTCTCATACCACCTGCATTCTCTGATCATTCCCATCGGCTCCCTCAAAGTCTCTTTTGTCCTCTCAAGGACTCTTCTAGTTTCTTGGCCTCCACTGGGCTTCTTAAAAGGTATTTCCCCCTGTGTCTTGAGGATTTCTCCCATCCCCACTCTTCTCCTCCCCTCCCCTCCAATCCTCTTCTCCCCTGTTCTCCCCTCCCCTCCCTTCACTTTCCTTTCCTGCAAGTCTTCTCTCCAAGCCTAGCTTTGGAAGCTCTGAGCTCCTGAGTCAATCCCGGCCCAGATGCACTGGGGCGTTCTTTATGTAGCTAAGGCCCAGTTCCAGGCATGTTTAAAACGCTCTTGTGCCAGTTATCAATACATGGGCACAGGGACAGAAACCCCTAAAAGAGATTATTTGGGTCTGTTGCCTCTGCATTTTATTTCCAGGAAACTTCGGGTGAGTTAATAATCCCCACACCATCCCATCCTGATGTTTGAAGTCTTCCTGGGAGAAGTCCTTTGCAGAATGCAGAGTCCTGAGCTCATGTAAGATGGGCTGCTACATCACTTTTATAATGTGCCTTTTGTCTGTCCCAGAGGGTGGCAGCTACACAAAGAGTGAAGAGTTGTCTCTTTTCCCACCAGCTCCATAACGGCTTCTCAGCTTACTTTTTTTTTTAAGAGGTAGAAGCAGAAGTGACATGAACCCCTTTGCTGTAGGAGATCTGTACTAGCAGGGCTGGGAGGGGTAGAGGACTGTAGAAGCGTGTGCTTGCAATTAAAGCGGTTTTGCGTTTGCTTCCCCTCTTCCTTTTTATACCTCTGATATTTCAACTTTTTAAGGTTTATTTATTTTAGGTGTATGGCTGTCTTGCCTGCTTGTATGCCAGTACACCTTGTGCGTGACTGGAATGCACAGAAGTCCAGAGGTATGAGATCCCCTGGAACGTGAGTTTACAGATAGTTGTGAGCTACCTTGAGGCCATTGGGAATCAAACCTAGGTCCTCTGTAAGAGCAGCAAGAGCTCCTAACCTCTGAGCCATCTATCTCTCCAGTTTCTGTGAAGGTTTTGCTTGGTGGTCAGCTTGACCACATCTGGAACGAACTACAGTTCAGAATGGAGAGCACACCTGTGCGAGACCTTTTGCTTGGTGTGAAGTGCGTGAATCCACTTCTAGTCCAGACCTTTGAGGCAGGATGCCTTTGATTTGGATCTGAAGGCGGGAAGATGTGCCTTTAATATGGGCCATACCTTCTGCTGGAAGGACATAGAAGAAGGAAGCTTTTGCTCTTCGCCTGTTTGCCCTTGCCTTGCTAGCACACCCATTCCTACACTGACATTAGAGCCTACTTCGGGATTCCAGCATATTCTAAAGACCAGCCTTGTGGACTGAGCAACTACTGGATTCTTGAACTTTTGGTCCACAGCCAGCCATTGTTGGATTAGCTGGACTACAGCCCATACGCCATTCAGAGATTCATTCTATAAATTGCTACCTCAGAGAATCTGACTAATACAGCTCCTATCCCTGAAGTTTTAAGAATTGATACTAAGTAAATGTTTGTCCTTGGAGAACTTTGCACTTTGTACTTTTGGGGTTTATCCAAACCGAACAGTGGCTTCTCTGGACCCAGAGAAGAGCCTTGAGAACATCACGCACTGCCTGGACACAGAGCCCAGGGATTGTTTTGTGAGCATGAAGGTCTGAGAACGATTCCCAGAATCTCCGGGAAAATGCCAGAAGTGGTGGTATGCTTGTATTCCCCCGCTGAGGAGGCAAAGACAGGCGGATGCCTGGAGTTTTCTGACCAAACATCTTGGCCTTAACAGTGAACTCCAGAAAACTGTGAAGCCAAAATTATGAGGATGCTTCTTATGCTTCCAATAAGGGGAGAAATCTGAATAGGTAAAGTAAAGTGTTAAGAAAAGAACGCCCTGGGTTTCAGATCTTGCTCTCTCATGTGAAAACTCGTTTGAAAAGTGTCCATTCATAACTCTCAAAAGAGTTTAACTTTATAACCTTAAAACTGTCCTTCGCTGACATGGCATGCATTGAGAGAGAACTGTAGCCACACAGGGTCAAATATGGACCACTGCCTCTGTACAGGAGAACTTAGACACCTGGGGGTAAAGCAGCCCAGGTCATAGGCCTCAAGAACAGGACGCAGGGATGCTATGACATAAGTACCCTGTTGTAAATGCCTTCACAATGTTCTAAATAAAAGATAAAATGTGTATGTTTCTATGTGTGTGTGTGTGCACATGTGAGTGCAGGAGCTCTTGGAAGCCAGCAGAGGGCACCAAAACCCTTGGAGCTGGAGTTACAGGTGGTTGCACTGTGCTAACTCCTGACAGCCACCTCTTCAACCACCCGCCCTTTTTTATGTTAAAAAATAAACATGAGCAGCTAACTTTATTATTTAACTATCCCTGTAAAATGATTCCAACAAAGCTGGGTCAGCAGTGTTCATTCTCTCTGTCTGTCTCTCGGTCTCTACCTCTCTCTCCCCTCAGCAAAGCATGATAGCAGTCAAGAAGCTTCGAGCAGCACATACTTCAGAGGGGAAAAGATTTATGAAGACTGTCAGTTAAATACAACATTCTCCATCTCCTGTGACACCAGCTACCTCCCAACATTTCCTAGTAGGCTATTTGAAGATTATGATCACCCCTTTCCTAGGCAAAGCTTTCTCCCAGTCCTGAAGATATATCTATCTATATCTATGTCTATCTTTATATCTATATATCCTGGATTCTCCTTGTTGGTTATAGCAAGAGTCCAGGAGGATTGTGTGAAGTCTGAAAAAAAAAAGAATGATGAAGATAGTATAGAAATCTTTGCCCAGAATAACACACACACACACACACACACACACACACACACACACACACGGAGAATATATGTTCAGTTGCACGTGCGTGTGTTGAGATCAGAGATCATTAATCTCAGGTGTTTTTCCTTGGGCACTTTTTCCCTTGCTCTTTTGAGATGGGCTCTTTCTTTGGCCCAGAGCTCATGTGGCTGGGCTAGCTGACCAGAGTCTGCAGGAACTATTGTCTCCACTTCCCCAGTGCTGGGATTATAAGCATGTGTCACCACACCCAACTTTTTAAATTTTATTTTATTGTCATTTGTGTGTGTTGGTTAGCATTTTCTTTTTCTTTTCTTTCCTTCCTTCCTCCCCTTTTTTTCTTTCTTTCATTCATTTTTTAGTCATATTGACACAAGTTAAAGTATCTGGGAAGAGAGAACCTCAGTTGAAAAAAAGGACTTCCCCTGGATCAGTCTGTAGGCAAGTCTATGGGGGCATTGTTAACTGATAATTGATGTGGAAGGGCCCAGCCTACTGTGGGTAGTGCCACCCCTAGGCCTGTAGTTCTGGGAAAGAATAAAAAATCCACCTCTCCTCTATGGCCTTGCTTCAGTTTCTCATATTTTCTGTCTTGAGTTCCTGCCATGAGTTCCTTACTCATAAAATAAAGCTTTTCCTCCCCAAGTTGACTTTGGTCATGGTGTTTATCACAGTAAATAGAAAGTAAACTATAACAGTGTGCATGTGTGTGCACGTGTGTACATGTATGTGGTGTGTGTGTGTGTGTGTCTACCACGTATGTGTGGGTGTACAGGAAGGCAGAAGAGGGGCTACAGGCAATTAGGAGCCTCTTCACACCACTAAATCGTCTCTCCAGGCTGCTGCTTCTCCTTCTCCTCCTTTTCTAAAGTGTCGGTTCTGGGGCTAAAACTCAGTTCTCGGGCATGCATGGCAAGCACTTTACCCACTGGGCCGTCAATCTGTCTCTTCTTCCTGAAATTTCATAACCGTATGTTATCCTTACGTGGTAAAGTTTGGACAGTTGTGCAATGTGCGCTCTATATTTAGCATGACTTCATAGCTACTAGGGACTGACTCTCGGGCACAGCACCAGCTAGGCTAGCACTCCAGCGCTGAACTACCTCCCCCGGCCCTCTTTTCACTCTTTTGAGACAGTATCTCACTACGTTGCCCAGGATAGTTATAAACTCACTCTGGAGCTCAAAATAGCCCTGAACTTTCAGCTCTCCTGCACCAGACTCCTGAGCAGCTAGCCTATATGCTGGGCCACTAAGGCTGACAGCATGTGACATTTCTACAACACAAAGGTAGAGACATTATAGTGTAAAAGAAACGACAGGCTGTGTCCCACCACCTGGCTCCTGGCTGACTTTACCTGAAATAATTACACGGAAACTGTATTCTTTTAAACACTGCCTGGCCCATTACCTCCAGCCTCTTATTGGCTACCTCTCACATATTGATTCAACCCATTTCTAATAATCTGTATCTCACCACGAGGTTGTGGCTTACTGGGAAAGATTCAGCATGTCTGATCTGGCAGCTTCATGGCGGGCAGTTCTCTGACTCTGCTTTCTTCCTCCCAGAATTCAGTTCTGTCTTCCCCGCCTAACTATGTTTTGACCTATCAGGCCAGGCAGTTTTCTTTATTAATTAACCAATGAAAGCAACAGATAGAATAGTACATGGCAGGATGGTT